TCACCGACGTTACAACAACAACAACAACAACGGGTACATCCACAATCACCTCAACAAAGAGAACAAGAACAACAACAACAACAATCACCAAGAAAAAGACATGAAAGATATAATTCAGTAACAACTTCACCTTCTCCTCCTCCCCCTTCTTCTCTTCTCATCTCTCTTCTTTCTCCTGATAATGCACGTTCAGCTGCTAGTATTTCAAATTTAATTAATCACGACGAAGAAAATCAGAATAATAATAATTCCTCTTCAACTACTATCGCAAATTCACCAACATCACGAACAAGTAGTAGATCAATTTCACCTGTTCCAGAAACTCCCAGAAATAACAACAATAATATTATTAATAATAATATTAGTAATAATAATAATAATAATATTAGTAATAATAATAATAATAATAATGTTATGAATGAAACTCGATTCATTAACATAGAATTTCATAATACAAATAATTCCGATTTTATCAATGCCAACTCAAAAAAGAAAAGGAAAGGTGGGCACGATCATGATTATGAAGGAGGTGGTGGTGGAAATAATAATAATAATAATAATAGCAATAATAATAATAATCGTCGTGAATTAGAATCTTCTAAAAGACAAAGACGTAGCGGTATTCATAAGAATGTTTCTTCTTCTTCTACTTATTCATTAGGAACAACTATGACCACAACCATAAATACCATGATGATGATTGATGAAATCGGTACTCATAATACTCATAAAGGGGGAAATTCTCCATCACCGATAACTTTTGATGAAATGATTTTGGATGATCAAATTTCTGATGATTTTTCGAATGCAAATTCACCTACTACTATTAATAATTTTAATAATATTAGTAATAATAATAATAATAATAATAATAATAATAATAATAATAATAATATGTCATTTTCCGGTACTAAACAAAATCGTAAAAAACCTTATATTCCTCGACCACCAAATTCATTTATACTTTATAGACAACATCATCATCCACTTATCCTTAATCAGAATCCAGGTATTAATAATTCAGAAATTTCTCGTATAATCGCTGATCATTGGAA